CCTTATCCTCTAGTTTAGTTAGTGTATGCTTCTTAAATGGATTATTTTTACTATAGTCTATATTGCTCCTGACTGATCATTCTTTTGAGTACCCGTGTTCGAACACGGGTATAAGAATATGATCTTCCAGTGTTCCTCCAAATACATGGAAGTAGATGATATAAACTGAATATATATGTCGTTGTAGTTTTGTTTAAACACTCGACCACTATCATCATTTTATATCTTCAAATTCCAATGTCTAATTAAAAAACCTCCGTTCTTTTTAACATGCCTCTAGAGCCCGAGTGAGGATGGAGCGGAGGATATGGACTGAATTCCTTTTATGTCGTCTAATGGTATGATTTTTAATTTGCATGCAGTGCCTCCCTATTATGCACTGATATTGCGGTCGCTTACTGTGCTAGAAGGATTGGCCATTTATGCCGATCCAAATTTTAAGGTGCTAGCTGCCTCATACCCATACTTTGCTAAAAGGCTTCTAACAGATCCAAATCCATATCTGAGAGATGCTCTTATAGAGTTGCTCTTTAAGGATGGGAGGTTTAGGTACAAATAACTTGTACATCCTCTTTCTTTTTTTTCTGTGTATTCAGTTCTTGATGAAATCTGTCAAGTTAATACGTAATTTTGGTTTGTTACAGGTGGAATAGACTAGAAAACCTTCTTGTTCAGGGAAGCAAGGACCGAGATTTCTCTGCAAAAGATGCTTTGCAACCCGTTTTAAAGCTACTACTGGGACCAGATGGTGAAGAACTTAGGACTTTGGTCATTAAAGAGGCTGTTCGTGTTACTGAAGCTGTTATTCTAGGCTCAGTTGTTGATACATACAACGCCGTACCATCTTTTATGCGTACTCTAATTTTCAATGGCAATGGAAACGGAGCCCTTGCAATGAGCAGTGATGAATTGCAAGGCATGATGGAGCTTCGGAACCAAGTCTTTCGAATCTGGGGGCTTCTGCAATCCTCTAAAAGCTTTGATCCATCTCTTTTGCAACCTATTTTACAAGTAAGTAAACCTTATTTGTGGCATAGTTTAGTGATAATGGTAGAAAAGAACATACACAGACGCAAATACAGAAGTCATAATCAAAGCACCAATGTTACAAGCTACTGTTATAATTTCTTTATTTTTTTATTGATTTTTGTGTCTTATATCAGTTATTTTTGCCAAAATATTTTGGATGGTTGATACACATGCTTTATTTGATTGCAAAGATTAATTGTTAACATATAGTTTAAAATTGCATAAGGTGCAAAAGTATTTGGGTCTTCACCATGAACCCTTTTTCATGGATCCAGCAGTGGAAGGTATTTATTTTAGCTATATTACTTGGATTTTTGTGCGAGTGTTGGACATAGGTATTTGTTTGATGCAGTTATGTTTAATTTCATCTAAATTGTTCGATGTCCAAATATATGACAAACGCGGATATTTCAATAAAAATGAAGAGTCAAAGCAACATAGGTTTTCAGAACGTATGCTGTTACTAGGTGAATTGAGCAGTATAGTTGTGTGAATTCCAGTACGGATCAATGGTTTAGCAGTGCATACCTTAACCTGTGGAAAATCCTGAATTTGCAGGAACCATTTTTTAAGATACAAATACCCTGCAATTGAATGAGGAACCAACTCTTGATGTTTCATTTAGTCTCAAACCATTTCTCTTTACACAAATATAATTATATCCAATACAACTGACTGACTACTGGTTCTTGAGCAGGTACTTCAACAACCCGAGGCACGCAGTCTAGGAGGCCGTGTAGTTGGTGAGATCACCCAGCGTCTTGCAGCTCGCTTACTGCAACAAGTACTTCAGATTCCGTCGGCTCCTACTTCAAGTTTATGAGCTTTAGACTCTTGGTAAGCCGATAAATGTATGTTGTAAACCTGAAAATCTACAGCCATTCTTTTTTTCTTTTTTTTTTTTTCTTTTCCGGATTAGTTATTCAACTCAAAGGAATAGAGAAATTATGACAAAAACAATAAGCTTTGGGGAATGTATGATCTTATCAAATGAATAACAGAAGTTTAGGTTATTCAACTACGACGGTGGTTCTTTTTTATTTTGGTTTGTCTTATTTAGGTTATTAATTTTGAAAGAGTTATGTTTCGATCATTTTTATTTTTTATGTCTTATTTTGATCATTAGTTGCCTGTTAGTTTGATGACGTGACACATCAGTAAGAATATTTAGATTTTAATTTGATTTCCAAATTTTGGACAAAATACTAATTTAATCTATGAATCCAGTTGAAGTTTTTTCCGTCGATTATTGTTCATCACCGTGGTTGATCACATTTGGTTGTCGTCATGATCACTTTTATCGATGATCATTGGACCTAAAATTTTTATTTCACCCATTTTTAATTTTCTGAACGTGAATTTTCATTAAAAAATATCATAAACTTTAAAAACTTAGTTTATAATCATTTAATTTTTTATAAAAAATAAATTATAATAATAAATTAATCATTATATTTCTTTAAAAACAAAAACACTAAACATTCAAATTCATATGATAATCCAAATCTATATCATAATAAATTGATATAATAATAATAATAATAATATAATTTACATAAATTTTAAAGTCATATTATAATTTTGATAAAATTTTAATATAGAATTTATCAGAAGTTACCAATAGGTTTGATAAAATTTCATATATTTTTCCCAATATTTTCTCAAAATACTAAAACGTATGAACTTAATTAAAATCAATCATATATATGTCAGTTGCTGATATTTTGCCCTTGCATTACATTTTGAGATCTAAAAGTTATAATAAAATCAGGATTACATTAATAATTGTTTATATATCAATAGTTAGCATCTTCTATTTATTTATGTTCGGGTTAAATATGAGATGTTACAATCTTCTACAAAAACATGTCCCCATAACCTTTTTTTTTTTGGGTTACAAAAGATAAAAAAAAAAAAAAAACATTAACTACTGCAGAGAGAAGCCTCGAGAGAAAGATATACCCCTTGCATCCGTTTCTAAGAGAGAGACGACCTTCGAAGGTGGATAATCGAAGTTATGTTGAGATTACATCCTATCTTAGAGAGTCCTATCTTAGAGAGTGTATCAGCACAAAAATTACTTTCACGATATGTATGGTGGAAGGATAAATTCCGATTGCGAGCTTTCAAGTTTTAAATACCCTCAATAATGACACCCCAACGGATGTAAGGAGGCGTCGCCAGAATTAAGGACGATTTTGTCATAACCATACTTCCACACAATGAATAGTCCCGTTCTAATGGCGTAGAGTTCTGCTGCTACACTCGAACAAAATCCTAAATTTGAAGCAAAACCAAGGATCCACTCACCTGTTCAGTTTTACAAGTCCATTTGGAGGAGGTAACCAAGCAACAAGAGCAAGGGGTTTCGAAGTACATCCATTCCCTCAAGACTTCCTCTGTTGAAGAGTTGATTTTATGCCATAAACTGCACTCATCATAAACATACACATGAAGCTCCATAACTCGTTTGCATCGCTCTGTCCATAGTTTCCAAATAATACACGCGAACTGGGTCACCCATCTTGGATCCAACCTTTCAAATTTTGCCAGAGAAAGGAATTCCGACTATGGTCATCAATACAACGTTCCAGACATTAAAAAATACACAACTCACCAATATATCTATGCTTCTTCCACTACTCTTAACTCAGAGTATCACCGCCCTGGTCTTCCTCCTCAGATTCCGCCTTATGAAGGTAGTATAATAATTATCAATTTCTTTTTTATTTTGTATTTTTTCAATTCAAATGATATGAAAAAAATAATTTTGAAAAATAGTTATTAAATTCTAGAAATTCATAGTTTTGGTGATTTCATACCTTAAACACGTCTAGAACTTTGTAAAAAAGAGTGTGTACTTGAGGTTCAGTAGGCGTCACATGTAGGTTAGGGTTCGTTTAAAGATGCCTAAAGAAAGCATAATTGCTACTGGAATTTTTAACGAACAAGATTTTAGGATCCATTTATTTTGTGCTTTTGGTACTTGCTTTCTACTTTCTAGTTCCGGATGCGAAATAAAAAGGAAGAAAGTGCATATGATTACTAAAGGAAATTGTTTTTTTTTTGAAGATAATAGATAAAATGAGTCATGTTTTGTTGTTGTTGATAAAAGTAGGATGTCTCATTAAAAACCCTCTTCATAATTGACCCTTTTCAAGAGGAAAGAAGCAACCAACGGAAGGAGGAAAAAAGTACCTCATTTTATTGATATAAAATTCTTACAACCATAAACCTTCACATTACAATAGAAAAGACTACCCCCTAAAAATGCAGAAAACATCCTCAATAAAACTACACAGTCACCCAACCCCTTATTTTGCTAACTTATCAGCCTCCCAATTACAACCCCTAGGAATTAACTTCACTATCAACACCCTAGATAATACAAAAAACTCGATCTCCTTAATTAGGTTACTAAAATACACAGGGGCAGAAGAAGTCGTCTGGATCCATTCCACAACTATTTTGCAATCACTTTCCAGAATCAATCTCCCTTTTTAGACCTAACCGAGGAAATGAAAATTCCAGTTGCTTTCCTAATTGCCTTCAATTCTGCCAATGGAGGAGGGCCAGATCCAACACATTCTGAAAACGACGCTAGAGTGGAACCATTTGAATCTTTAAGAATACCCCTAATGCCACCATCTAACCCATCGTTTCTAACAACACCATCTACATTGAACTTGTAGAAATCCGCAAGAGGAGGAAGCGATTTCTGTACAACCCTACTCTAAATCTTTGAGCAGTTAAAACCGTTTGCTAGAGAGTGATCAACCATTAACGAGTCAACCGAGATCGAAACTTGATGAAACTTGGCTAGAAACCACTTAGCTAATCTAAATCTTACAATGAAGAAGAGAGAAGACCTATCCAAAACCTGGTTCTCGAAAACAATTGAATTCCTATGATTCCTATTGAGTGATAGACATCAGTCTCTTCTTTCCAAATTTTGGTAAGTGAGAGAAAATATGAGTGAAAGAGTGAGAGAAAATCTGAAAGGTAAAAAGTCCTCCGGTGAGGAATGTACGACTTTTGTCGATAATCTTAACAAGAGAGTCTCTAGGAGAGTGATCAGGGAACTATTCCATTGTCAAGGTAAGGTGTTACGGGTATATATTCCGAATATTTCCAATAAGCCAAAATACAGGAACCATACATTTGCTTTTGTTCAGTTCGAGAAGGAGGAAGGTTTAAGGAAGACGATTATGAATATTAATGGAACATGGATAGATGGTAAAAGAATTAATGTTGGGGTTGCAAAATATCAGAGTCATCAATCCAGTTTAGTTGTTACTTCAAATAAACAAAAGGAAGTAGATAACTCAAAAAAGGGCGTATTCAGGAGAAGGGATGAGGGAGCAGAGCTTTCAGGCAGTTTGAGGGATGAAATATCATACAAAGATGCTCTGGTATTAAATGAAAGGATGAGGGATGATCTGGTGGTTGAAGATAAAAGTGACGGTAATAAGGGGAAGATTTCTGGGATAAGAAATGTGTAGGAGATGCACATTCCTTCGGTGGAATCAGATTGGGTAAAAAGGTCTTTAACAGGGATCATCAAACCTCTCTTCGATTTGGAACTGGTCGAAAAGGGTTTGGCTAGTGATGGAATTAATGTTAGGATAGCCAGCTGGGGCTATGCTTGGAATTCCTGCATTGTCACTTTCAGTTTGGTTGAAGAACAAGCAGAGATATGGTTGAAAAAAATGAGGAACTTTTATTTTGGTTCTAATGGCTAGAACCTTTGTTGAATGAGGATGAAATTCCTATGGCATTTTGTTCGGTAGAACTGATCGGTGTTCATTTGTTATGTTGGAATGTCCAATTTTCGGAAAAGATTGCTGGTCGGTGGGGGAAGTTGATGAACATCCAGGAGTCGACAAAAAAGAAAAAGGACATGTCAGCAGCAATGTGTCTGTTAAAGGTGAAGAGTCCTTTTGATGTACCTGAAATAATCACGTTGGGATCTTACGAAAGATCTTTCAAAGTAAAAGTTGAATTGGGTTCGGTTCATAGAAGACAAGAGTTTATGTCTGAAATGTCATCTGAAGTTGCAGCAGAGGACGTGTTCAGGAAGGTTGCAGCTTTAAAGGAAGAAGAAGAAGGAACTGTAACAGAGGAGGTCTGTGTTAAGGAAAATAATCAATTTAGGGTTAAGGAAAACAATCAATTTAGAGGGAAATAATCGAGCCCACTCAGAAGATAACAGTAAGCCCAATTACACAGATTATAGAATAGTACAGTTTGGGTCTGTGTTAAACATTGCAAAAATGGATTTTAGAAAAACTAATGAGATACGGGTGGATCCTTCAGGAGAATTAAATAATACCGCTCCAATGGGAATTGAACGAGGAAATGTCTTAGCTGACGAGGGTAGTAGTGGTGCAATGTCAGAGAAATTGGGAACCAGAAGAAGTTCATCATCCCTACCTTCGAACCGGAGAAGATCGAGAAGTGTTGCTACTGTTTTTTGTGACAGAGTATACAACCGATCGAATAGGAAAAAACCTGCAGAATAATCAGATATGGGATTTTTTGTTTTGGATGCTTCGACAGAAAATAATGAATTAGTTTCTACTTGGTAGGTTAGCAGGATGTTGGGTGTATAATTTAAGGGTGGAAAAAAGGAGTTTGCTCAGAAGTATTCGAAAATGAGCAAGGTGATTGAGGATGAGACTTAGTCTCATTCCCTATTTCTGGTGTATAATCTACTAAAAGTATGAGTAAGTTTTCTTGTGCTACATGGAACATTAGGGGTTTAGGGAGGAAAGAAAAGGTTAGGGCAGTAAGAAAGATGATTGTTAACAGAAAGCCACAGATTTTATTCATGTAGGAGACGAAAGTTTTAGTGGTGAGACTAGCTTTGGTTAGACGTTTAGGGGGAAGATGCTTACAGGGATTGCAGTTTTCTCCAGCAGAAGGATCTTCAGGAGGTTTAATGAGCCTTTGGGATGAAAACTGTTTTGAGTCTCGAGAAATAGAATTTTCGAAATATTTTGTGGAAATAAAAGGGAAATTCATGGATGCTAATGAGAATGTATGTTTAGTGAACGTATATGGACCTGTTATAGAATCGGAGAAAAATGTCTTTTTTGAGGAGTTGCTCAGTTTTTTAGGCGATGTGGACTGTTCATTATGTATGGGTGGTGATTTTAACTCGTATTTATCTCGGGAGGAGAAGAGAGGTAAATCACAGAATTTGTATTCGATGAGAGTTTTTCAGGATTTTGTATTTCAGGCAAAATTGGTCTATTTACCGATGATGGGTGGTAATTTCACGTGGAACAACAATAGGGATGATCCTACTTTTGTTCGATTGGACATGTTCCTAGTGAATGCAATGTTTTTGTCGATGTTTACAGATATTGATCAACTCCTCCTTCCGAAGTCCTTATCGGACCATAATGCAGTACTACTGGAGAGAATATATGTTAATTGAGGTCTGAAGCCTTTTAAATTGTTCAATTACCTTATGGAAGAGGAGGGGTTCCAACACATGATGCAGTTAAAGATTAAGGAGATAAAGAAGGTTAAAAGCAGATGAATTGAAATTATGCTTAAAGAATTGAAGAAATCAATTAAATGTTGGTCCACTAATAATTATCTGAAGTTGCCGAATTTGATTACGAGGATGGAAAATTCCATTTCTGAAATGGAGGAAGCAGTGCAACAGGGGTCTGCTCAGGTGTCGATGGAATCAATTACGAAAACAAAGAAGGAGTTGTGGTCGTTATACAAAAAAGAGGAACATATTTGGTTTCAAAACTCTAGAGCAAAATGGATTCAAGATGGAGATCGGAATTCTCAATATTTCCATCAGTGCGCAACAAATATGAGAAGAATAAATGGTATGAAGATATTGGAAGTGAATGGTAAGATTATTTCGAATCCGGAAGAGATCAAAACTAATGTCTGTGAGTTTTTCAAGAGAAACTACAATTTGAAGCCAACGTTGAAGGTGTTGAATTTTGATTTGCCTTTCAAGTACTTATCCGAGAATGAATGCTCACTGCTGGAAAGGAAGTTTTCAGAGGAGGAAGTTTGGGAGGCTATTAATTCCTCAGATAGTAATAAGGCACCGGGTCTGGATAGATTGAACATGAGATTTTTAAAAAAATATATGGCCTTCACTAAAGGAATATATCTTGAAGTTCTTTGAGGATTTTTACTTGGGTAAGAAATTGCGAAAAGGTGTGAACCATACGTTTATCACTATGATTTGAAGAAGTAAAATCCGGTTGGAATAGAAGACTACATGCAGATTAGCTTGGTGGGAGGAATGTATAAGATTTTGTCGAAAGTGCTTTCAATGAGGCTAAGGTTGTGTTTAGATTCGTTGATTGGTCATTCAAAAATTCGCATTAATACCAGGTAGGCAAATATCCGATTGCTCTTTTATTGCAAATGAAGCCATCGACTATTGGAGGAGAAAATGTATGAAATGTATCGCTTTCAAAGTGGATTTTAAGAAAGCTTATGATTCAGTTGATTGGGATGTCTTAATGAAGATTATGGAGCAAATGGGTTTCGGATAGAAATGGAATTCCTGGATCTTCGAGTGTATTTCCTCTTCCACTATTTCAGTCCTCGTAAATGGCTCTCCGACAGAAAGTTTTAACATATCGAGGGGCTTACGTCAAGGTTGTAGTATTTCGCCTATGTTATTTAACTTGGTGGGAGAGTTGCTTAATCTGATGTTGTCAAAGGCGGTTGAGTTGGGTTTGTTCAATGGCTTTCAGATTGGTTGTGACAGAATTCTTTTAAGTTATCTCATCTACAATTCGCTGATGATCTAATTATTTTTTGTGGTGTGAATAAAGGTCAATTGAAGAATGTTAAAAGGATTTTAGTTGTTTTTGAGATGTGCATAGGTTTAAAGTTAAATCTTTTGAAAAATAGAATTTTTGGGTTTAATTTAGAGACATCGATTGTTAAAAATTGGGCAATGTCTATTGGGTGTAGAGCATATGTTTTCCAACGTAGTATCTCGGGCTACCTCTTGGATATAAGCGAAACTCGACAGTTTTATGGGAGCCAATTATTAACAACTTTTATCAGAAATTAGCTGGTTGGAAAGCTTCAACGCTTTCACTTGCTGGAAGGGTTGTGCTTGTGAAATTTGTCCTCTCGGCGCTTCCAATATATTATATGTCTTTGTTTAAAATTCCTTCTCAAGTTTCTAGATTGTTGAATTCGGTTATGGAAAATTTTTTATGGGGTAGTTCATCATAGAAGAATAGAGTTCATTGGGTTAAATGGTTGCAAGTTTGTAAACAAAAGGAGTTTGGAGGGCTGTGGATCAATGATTTAAAGCTTATGAATAAAGCTCTTTTAGGTAAGTGGGTTTGAAAATTTGGAAGTGAGAAAGAAACCTGGTGGAAAAAGATGGTTTGCTCTATGTACGATTTGGATAGAAAGGAGATAAGGTTGACAAGTAGTTTGTCTACCCAATCTTTTTGGCTTTGGAAGAGAGTTTTCAATAATTTCTAGTCAGAGGACTTGTTTAGCATAGAGCTTCATAATCTTTTGGTGCTGCAACTAGGGAAAGGGAATTCTATTAGATTTTGGCAGGATGTATGGATCGAAAACTTTCATCTGAGGTTACGATTTCATAGGCTTTTTGCTTTATCGATTAATAAATATGGGGTTATAGCAGAATTTGGGTCGCTTATTTATGGAAGATGGGTGTGGGATATTCAGTTGAGGAGGACTTTGTTGGATTGGGAGGTGGATCTTTGGGTGAAATTGCTTTCGATATTGGACAAAGTTAGTGTTCGAGTAGGTGATGATGGTTGCTTAGTGTGGAGAGGGAATAGTGAAGGAGTGTATTCAGTAAAATCAGGCATGAAACCAGTATCAAGATCATCGGTTCCGAATTCGCTTTGGTCAGAGTTTATCTGGGCTGGTTTGGCTTCTACTAGAGTCAAAATTTTTCTATGGCAGATTATTCACCAGAAGATGACAGTTAAGTCTGCCTTAATTAGGCGGGGTATTAGTGGAATCGATGATCCTCTTTGCCAGTTGTGTGGTTCGAATGTCGAATTGGTTAGTCATTTGTTCTTTTATTGCAGAATATTTTGGGGGGGGTATGGATGAGATTTCTGAGGATGTGGAATGTTTGTTCAACTTTGCCCAATTGTGCTACTGATTTCATTTTCATGTGGGCTGATTTAGTTCCGAATTCTGATATTTGAAAATTTATTCCAGGAGCAGTTATGTGGTCTGTTTGGTTATGTAGGAATAAATTGTTTTTTGAAAATGGAAGGTTGGATCTAACCTATCTGTGTTTTCTGGTTAGATATAGAGCGACTGCTTGGTTTTTGGCAAAGAAGTCTAGTTTTCCTGTTCCTCTTGATCTTCTGGTAGGGGACTTAACGCTGGCAGATGTACACAAAGGGAAGTTGAAGAAATTTTCTTTTTCCATAGGTTGGTGTCCTCGCCCTTTAGGTTGATTTAAAGTTAATGTGGATGGGGCAGTGAGTTGTGATTGGAGGTGCAG